CAGTGTGTGTGTGTGTGTGTGTGTGTGTGTGTGTGTGTGTGTGTATAAAAGCAGTATTAGGTGACTATTTGCATTTCCTGAAAGTTAAACTTGGAAAGTCATTCTGCTGAAAATAATTCTTATATAGACTTTACATTAATTGATGCAATAATAGTTACACTGTACGAGTAATTATTGTTAAGAAATCTAATACAAAAATTCTTTTACTTAGTTTCTTGGTATATGGCAGGTTGCCACATGTATCTCAGAGTGAACATGGTCACAGATGACAATGAACTGGCTAATCAGATAATGCTGAATTTTAATTAATACGTACAAGAAAAGAAAGCTTTACCAAATTCTAAATTAGAATTGAAAACAGAGAAGAGAACTTCTGAATTAACCCTTCTGGTGCATAAATAATTCCTTTTAATTATGATTTTGACAGGTCAAATATTTTCAGAACTTTTCCTTTAGTGGAAAGAAGTGTTTTACTTACAGATGCACAAGACTATGAGGAAAAGGAGGTATGTGGCCAGTTCCCGTAAGACACTTTTAAGGTATTTCTCTCGGTTAGTGTTGCTTTCCTCCATGAGTCTTGTTCCCCAGAGACCTTTAAAATAAAAATAAAAAAGATGTCATTTTATTTTTTAAAATCTTGTGAATGGCAAAGGGAAAACATATAAAATAAACAGGATAGCCTTTAAGGGAGATTCCTATGTTTTCTCTAGCATGCTCTGAATGTAACTGGGAAATTGTTTTAGCAGGGGTACCGTACAGAAAATTTAGAAAGAGAACAGGAAATGAGGGCATTCTAAAATAGGAAATTAAATACCTGTGCATACACAACAGCTCTTCCTATAGCAGGGAGGATGCAACCTGGTAATTATCCTATTAACTAAACTTAGCACATGATGAAAATACATTGCAAATGCTACCTTTTAGGGCACCCCGGATGAAAAGAAGTCCTGGTTGGAACATCATTTCCCTGTGGAAACATCTATCAAGCTTCTAACATAGTGGTGTAAAAGCTCTGCTCCATACCCATCTTTGTCATTTAAGAAACTCTGTGCTGAATGACTAAACACACACCATTTAACAGGTTTCTAAAGTGCCAATTAACATATAATCTTTAAATGCAACAACTCATCTGACTTATTCTTTTTGGAGAAAGAGTAAAATCAGCAACCATGTTCTAGATTTTCGCAGATGGAAAAACTGTTGGGCCAGTTGAGCAAAGATGACATAACCCTCCACGAGCTAGCTGGAGAGAGTTACCACAGTTTTGGACTCGTAGACAGACGTGGTGGCCGTCCAAACCCCCATTAATGAACAGTGTGGTAAAGTTACATTGCTGGTTACTTGGAAGAGCCTTAATGTTGTCCAAAAAAGACAAACTTCCCAATCCTTTTAGTTAGATTAGGTCGGCTATTAATGGCCGCCAAACTGGCCCCTGCATGTTGCCTCACTTTTATTCCGCCGACTTTAACCCCTTCAATCACTGAAATCACAGAACCACTTAAGCCACACAGAGACCAGGGGAAAATGGTATATGGTCTTTCACTGTGAAGAAATGACTTCATCGCTAGTGTTTATGTATTCTTAAGTCTTATAATAATACATTAGTTCTACTCCTAAGTTTGGGTATTTCATTTCCTTTTCTTTTTCTCCCAAATTTCCTTTAGGAAAATCGGTATCTGAGTTCAAAGACACTGTGTTACGCATCACAGGTTTCACCACACTGAAAGTGGAGCATAACTTATGACCAGGTTTGCTTCTGCCAAGATCTGGTAGTTGTCAGGGAATTACTCACTCAGAAGAAATGCAGCAAGCAGAATGTTTGTTCACTGAAACTCCATCATATTAAAGAATTATTACAAATTTAGATGACATGGAAAATTACAACTCAGAATAACACAGAGGCAGCCAAATATTAGGCTCAGTAGCTCTGCACACAAACACACCATTTCTTTGGATATATTTCTTTCAGAGACCAGGCCGAAAAGACACATATCAGTAGAGATTGCTTGTCTCTTTCCCATCAGGAAAGATTGCTGCCTTGCCTCAGTCAGTGACTTCACTCTTTCCCATGGTTTATAAACAATTATGCACTAAGGAACAGTCACGGTTCTTAATATTTACCACTGGTACCACTTGACCTATAAATAGAAAAACCAACCTCCTTTCAGAATTTATTCAAGTTAAACTTGCAATGGTCTATGGCAATTTAATTCTAGCCTTTGAATAAAACATTTCAAATGAAAAGAAACAAGTCCCCTTATTTATACTTCTATATACTGTACTTTTATGTATTTATTTTTTATAAATTACTCTACCTCCTCAAACATTTAGTGCTTTAAAAATTTCATCCAATTTCCCAACTAGGTCTGTATGTTGAGTCAGTCTCGGGGTACAGGGACCTCTTTACATTCTGATGGGTGAGAAATGGCTGCATCCACAAGTAGGAAAAAACAGCTGTCCTGTAGCTACCTACTTTCCATGTGTAGCAGAACTGATAGAATAAGAATGGTTAAGGATAGAGCTCACGTCCAAAATGGCAGCATTCTTCAAAATCAACTGTTGTCTTTCCCACAATTGTCCCAGTTGTGGAGGGAGTACCTTCCCCACATTCCAGGCACTCACATTCAGTATAGAAGGTGTCTCCAGCTGTTAGGGAGAACTTGATAATGAGGGGGATATTGGACAATATCCAGCTTCCTACACATTTAAGAGAGTGCTTAGTTAATGCCAGGACCCAGCGTTGGAGCATATCATCTAAACATTGTCTATTGCCCTGTGCAGTGTTACTTATTAATATGAGTACAAAGGAGCTCTGAGATGGATAATCCAAAATACAAAAGATGTCCCAAACACAAATAACTGACTTTGAAAAAAATGCCATTTTTGTAACTACTTTATCCAAATGTTTCCAAAATCTTTACTGTGCAACGTGTGTGTGTGTGTGTGTGTGTGTGTGTATATCACAGAAAGAGAATGATGTAATGAACTCCTCTTTCTCTCTCACCCAGCTTCAACAATTGTCAACTCAACACCAACCATTCATCTAAACCCTCACCCATTCCTCCCAAATATTCTGAAATGAATCCCAGCTATCATATCATATCATCTGTGATTATTTCAGTTCCACGGTAAAAAGATTCCATGTGGATCTTCTGCCTCACGCGAACCCTGCCCCATCTGAAATACACAAACCCCTGAGACTTACCAATCACGACACATTACAATGCAGGGACTTGGAGTCAGAATTGTGTTCAAGTGAGGGCTCAGCCACTTAGGGGCTGTGAGACCCTCCCGAACCTCATGAGCCTACACTTCCTCATCTGAAAACAGAAGAGTGCCTCTTTGTGGGGTTGCTCTGGGAATTAGAAATATTATGTATAAAGCACGTACAGGGGTTGGAAGAGGCCTGCCTATAGCTTCAGAAACAGGTCCAAATCTGAAGCCTAGATGTCAGAATGGCATAAAGACCCACATCCATATAGACTTTGAGTTCCTTGTGAATAACCTGACCAAATGCTCATTGCATTTACAGCATACATAAAAGAATCCTGGTTTTGTGCTCAGACACAGGTGGGGCTTGTTTAGAAAGACAAATACAATCCTTCTTAACTTCTATTTTAATTACAGGGACACCTTTAGAAAGGGAAGTGACTTTTTACTACAATTGGTCCATTTGCTATAGAATATTCAGTTGCTACCTTATATGATTTGACTCCTGAATCTCAAATTCACAGCCCTCTCCTGATGTGCAGATAAGTATATGCCACAGCTAACCGCCAGTTCCACCTGCGTGCTCCACAGACAGCACACACTCACAGACCTGAAACAGATTTTTCATTTTCTTTCATTTTAAATATGTTTAGAAACATATTTGCCCTGATTGGGCTAATGGCATCAAGCCAGTAACATGGTTTCATCCTAGAATAGACACTTTTCTTAACCCCCACAGGGAATTGGTCCATAATTGTACTTTTGTGTATTTTTAAAATTTGTGTATTTTAAAAATCCTGTATTTTTCATCTAGTTTCCTTCCATCCCAGGTCACACGCCCTTGTTGCACCCTTTATCACCCCTCTTTCTCGGTCAGACCTCTCCTGACCTACTCCCTCAGCAACCAGTGCTATCCACCTCATCCCATTCTCGCCATTCTTGTCAGAATCATCTTCGGATTGACACGTCATCATATCAGCCCTCTGCTTGAAGCACCCACTGGCTCTGTCTACAGGAAAAAGTATCAATGAGCCACAGGTTTGGTCTTACTTCTGCTACTTTTCTCTCCTCCACACCCCACCCTCCTTCCTTTAAAACATAACTCAAGTTTCACTTGGTCTGGCTTCCCCCAGGTAGAACTGGTCCTCTCCTCTTTGGGTCTCTACCATACCTGGCACCGGACTTTATTCAGTTATCAAAAGGAATAAGTTTGGATACATGCTACAATATGGATAAACCTTGAAAGCATTACGTTAAGTGAAATAAGCCAGATACGAAAGGACAAATACTGTATGATTCTACTAATACCGAGGTACCTAGACTAGGGAAATTCAGAGACAGAAAACAGAATAGAGGTAATCAGGGGTAGGGGGTAGGGAGAATAGGGAGTTACCGTATTTCCCCGAAAATAAGCTCTAGCATGATTTTTCAGGATGCTCGTAACATAAGCTCTACCCCAAATATAAGCCCGTTAAGATCGTCATCCAAACATGACTGTTCTGTACATGAATAAATGAGTAAATGTAGATTGTTAGAGCAAAAATTAATATAAGACACGGTCTTCTTTTCCGGGAAACATGGTATTGCTTAATGGGTAGAGTTTCTGTTTGGGATGATGAAAAAGTTCTGGAAATGGACAGTGATGAAGTATCTATTTTGTTATGGCAGCTTAGCCCACCCTGACCAATATAGCTAGTACTTTATGATTTCTACAGGAAAACAAAACAAAAAAAAAACCAAGCATATATGTCTAAAATAACAGGAAATGACTTGAACAAGTTGGTACACCCATAAAACATATTCACCTTTGGAAAGTCAGAAAATTTGATAACTCATATAGAGTATCAGATTTTATCTTTGCTCTGAAAAGAGTTTGCCACAAAAAAAATTAAACAATATTATTGGGGATACATTTAAGTTTGGGGTAGCCTTTCAGCCTTCTTCATTTCCTTTGGTCCAGACCTCCATCACCTCTTCACTGGCTGCCTCCTACCTGGTCCTCCTGCCTCCGTCTCCCTCTGCAAGCTCTGCTGCACAGCACACTGCCTGACTCATTACCTTTCAGCGTGTTCTGCTCCTGCTCAAAAACTTTCAACCACTTCCTAATAGTTAGGAATAAATTCTTAATTCCTTGGTTAGACCCAATGCTTCCCACAACCAGACCTCAAACATTTCTTCTTTACTATCTTACTTCTGCTAAGATAGATCTACTATTCAAGGAGCAAAAATGTCCATTTGCTGTTCATCTTTGGTTCATGTAACGGTGACACAAGAGTATGTTGAAGCTAGAAGGCACCTGGGAGGTTCAACTCTTCCATTTTATAAATGAGAACCTGAGGCCCAGGAAGTCTGAGTGAGTTGTATCAAGTCACAAAGGCAGGAGACGTCCAGGGAAGCTCCTGACCATGCCAAATTTGAGTAATCTCCCCCAATTTTAGAAATTGCAAGCTAATTTCTGTTCTGATCCTAGGGTACTACTTATATAATGCATGTAAGATTTTGTCATTGGTATCCCAAGAGGGAAAAAAAATCACAATTCATTCATGGTTATTTATTTCACTTTTCTGGGTTTCTGTCTATAGGAAAATGGTGTTATGCTATATTAGTTTATTTCTTTTTGTAGCATCTAGCACAGTGCTATTTTCACAGTAAGTTGCTAAGTATTTAACAAATGTCACTTATTTAGCAAGTGACAAGAATGTCAATATTTCTTCATAAAAGAAATAAAATCTAAAATCCTAGAATTTTCTATAATTAAGATTTTCCTAAGCCTGCTCTTCTAATTAGACCATTGATAAAGTATGACTTGAAGTTTTAATAAGAACTTATTCATTGTTAATTTCCTGAAATCTTTATTTAAAAGAAATACTTGTATATACACTCTTATAAAAATGTTATTTTATTTCATATTCCTGTGTTGATGTTATTCAAACGTTAAATATATTATCAAGTGGTTAAGCTGAGTTAAAAGGATCATGACTTACTATTACTTATTAATTTAGAAACTTCTCTTACTTCAGTGACTATTTCATAAAGCACATTTAAAACAATGTAAAATAATAGCTGACCATTGAACAACATGGGTTTGAACTGCACAGATCCATTTATATGGGTATTTTTTTTTTCAACTGACCTGTGGCATTTCAAGCCCCAGTTGTTCAAAGGTCAACTCTGCAGCTGGGAACCTGCATATGCAGACAACCAACTGGAGTTATACGGGAAAGTCAGTGCCCCTAACCTCCCAGTTATTCAAGAGTCAACTGTATATGATTTGTTTAAATAGTTTTGAACCTTAAAATGTATTAGAGTTTTTACTAATCTACTCACACGGGTTATTAAAAAAGAATCTTTTGTTTCCCGATCATGCTCTGAATCAAATTGACTACAATAAGCACTTATGTAAAAGAAGTACCAAAATGTACACTTTTAAAATTTATGATTTAATTTATATTTGTGAAGTACTCACAACACGGGAGAGACTTGTTATACATTTCACACATCTCATCTCATTTAATTCACCAAAGTCAAGAGCTAAGTATTATGACTAGCCCTTAAAAAATAAACGCAAAAATTGGGAATCAGAGAGGTTAAGCAATTTGCTCAAGGTCACAGAGCCAATGTGTGATGGAACTGGGACTTGGGTGTAGGCCTTACTTGGTCTTAGTAAAGTTGTTATAAAAGCACCTGGGTAGTTTTTTTGTGCAAGATTTTCAAAACTGACAGGAAGAAAAGGGAAAGGAAATTTTCTAAAGAACTGAGGAATGGAAACGCTTAAAAGTAGAGATTAAAATAATATGGATGGTAGGAGCAAATGCGACTCTTCCAAGAATGCCTGACAAAACTTTGCAGAAACAGGATCACCATCTGCTCTTGGAAAATTTGTGTCCTCTTCCTAGACACTGGCAAATTTGGAAATTCCTTTCCTGCCTTTTGGAGAGTTGGGTACACTGAACTCTGACACATTTACACACAGCTGGTATCTGGTGACTTCACTGTTTTGTTGGAATTTTAAAGAACATTAATTTTGTTATTTAAAAACATACTTTCAAGTTTTTAAAACAATGTAATCTTTCTTCGCAACTGTTTTAGGAAAATGCCTAGAATTAGAAATGGCCAAATATCTGTTTTCAAAGATTTTATTCTATTCGAGGTTCTCAACAGCACCTCCTCCCAGCAACAACCACACACATCCCCAAAACAGCATCAAGGACAACCCAATGACAGTCCTCCCACAATCTGGATAAAGGGTACTGTTACCCTTCCGAGAACGGCATAAGGGGCGATGAGGGATCGAGACCTGTGGAAGGCCATGGGTACTAATACAGAATTTTCATTTTGATTTAGTAAAACTGGCAAATAGACAGCGTAACCACTATTACTTGTATTATAATATTCATTTTTTCTCCAACCCCCCCCCCAAAAAAAACCCCCAGATGTACCCTATCACTTGAATACGGCTTTCACTTATTCCCAGACGTAAAAATATGCTGACATTTCTTCTTCTAGAAGAAGGAGCTCTCCCATGCATTTGCACCAACAAGGGCGCAGTGAAATTGGGCGCTGGGTACCGGAAATAGAGCAGCATTAGCAGAGGTGGGGAACGCGCTTCCAAGGGAGGCGGGGACGCAAGGGGGATGCGAGGTGGAGCCCCGGAATACGCTGCCCGCGGCGGGCGATGGCGCGGGCCGGCGCCCGCAGCTCTGGGGCGCGCCTCGGCCGGGGCGGCTCTCGCTCTTACCTCGCAGCCCGCGGACCAGCCTCTCCGCCCAGGCCACTCGCGGCGGCTGCCCGTCCAGAGGGAGGTGGCGATGCAGCGGGTCCCCGCCGCCCGCCGGGCCGGGGCTCGGTGGGCCCTGGTCCTCTCGCCGGCGCCGCCTCCCGCCGGGGTAGCCCCCCAGCCCCCGGCCCCGTGCGCCCGCGGCGCTCACGGCCGAGGAGGCGGCCGACCTCCGGCTGCCCGGGCGCCACTCCACGTCCATCTCCACCACCATGCCCCCTTCCTCCCCTTCCACCTCCTCCTCCTCCTCCTCTTCCTCCTCCTCGGCCTCGAAGCCCGGGTTGTCGCGGCTCCAGGCCTGCCGCGAGCACGACGAGTGCGGCGGGGACGGGGAGGCCGAGGCTCCGGCTGGGGGGTCCCGCGCGGCCGCCTGCCGGATGCGCTCCATCTCGATCTCCAGGCCCGTCTGCTCGCGGAGGCCGCCCGCCATCAGCCGGCCCGGGCCCG